CTTCTTCTAAGGAAGAAGGCTTGTGACTGTAAGGCTCTTAAGCACCAAGAAAAAACTGCAAGCCGCTTCTCAGCTGGCTTCCGGGAGAGCATTCTGCTCTTCTTTGTAACAGCTTTTTAAAACCCTAGAATTCTCGGGCTGGAAAAAAAAAAAAAATGCCCCTTTTTATTATATTCGTGGGAAGAAACACATTACGATTCCCAATAGAAAAACGGGAAAGAATATCCTCAAACCAGTCATAGATAAGGAGACAGACTTCTTTAAAAATATAAGGAAAACATTCACGCTTAACGATAACCAAAGCAATGCAACTTACAACAACGAGGGGCCTGTTTGCGTTTAGTGAATGAGCAAAAACGTCCATGCTGAGTGCTGGTGTGGCTGTCGTGAGACAGACGCCCTTGTTCAGCAAGCATCTGCTGAGCTCCCCCTCTGAAGCAGGCACTGTCTTCGGGGACACCATTAGACGGTGGGAAGGCTTGAAAGCACAAAACTCCCAGAAACACATTATGCAATAACATAAGGTTACATGCAACTGGAGTGTAAACACTCAGGATGGAAAATAGAAGGGACACTGGTCGGAAGTAAGAGGGGGTGGCCTGGCAGACAGCAGACCTGGAATGGGGACAGAGGCGAAGAGGCCAAATTCCTAGGAAATGATACTAGTGCAAATAGTTAATGCACTCAGCTGCTAACCAACAGGCTGGAGGCTCAAGTCCACCCAGAGGTGCCGTGGAAGAAAGGCCTGATGATCCACTTCCAAAAATTGGCCATTGAAAACCCTATGGAACAGTTCCACTCTCATACATATGGGGTCACCATGAATTAGAGTCAACTCGATGGCAACTGTTTGGTTTTTACGTGGTCCCAGAGACCTCAGCCAGCCACAATCACAAGGAAGGTCAGAGGGGAACAGGAAGAGGATCTTAGTCGTAAATCTTGGCAAAGGAAATCATAGAAGATTTTCCATTCCAGCACCTGACTCCACCAGCAAGACTGATAATCAGTATCGAGCTCTTCCCACTCACTCAACCATCCACACATTTATCAATTATTCCAATGAGTGGAGTAACGCAGCCATGGACCAACCATTCTTTTTCCACTCATATTAATTCATTCAGCCACATATTCTAGTAAGCACAATC